CCACACGGACACGGGTATTTTTATAAACAGAGTTTTTCCTTCTTCCGTTTTAAAAAAAATCTCCGTCCACATGAAAACGCAAACGCATGCTATGAAGCACTGCCAAGAGCATGCCAAACCAACAGGTGGCGCTATAATCTCTACCGGAATCAGAAATCAGCAATCAGAAGCCTGAAAAAGTCTCCAGTAGGCGGAGATAACAGCGCAGGCTCTGACGTCACAAGCCAAAAACTCTGGTTTCGCTGTCTACACGAAGACACTGCAACTGGAGCTTTTGAAAATCTTCACCCTGGCAGGCGTTTTCAAAAATGTTTGGTTTCAGTGAACTGGTGCTGCGTTTGCATGTGGAACGAACGGCCTAACCGTGTAAAATAACCGCGTTCGTGTGGACAGGGCCTTAAACAAATGCAGGTAATTTACAAAATGAATGGTCATTGAAAGTGTTTTTTTTTTTTTTTACTATATTAAAAGATTGTTTTATACCAAAAGCACATAACTCCAACAGTCATTTTTTGGCAAAAGCAGGTAACTCCACATTTCATGTTTGCAATCTCCTCAGATGACAATGTAGATGCCTGACAAACGTTGTTGTTGTTGTGATCATAAACTGTATGGATGTGATTACACGCAATACACAGAGCTTTTCCCTCTCCATTGTAACGCGCTGCTTTTGCTAGCTTCCGTGAAAACGTTTCAGCTTTTATTTTCCTTTTTCGCCCTGAAGAAGATATCACAGCTTCATCAACTCCTCTCAGCTAGCACAACTTTTCAAACTTTTGAAAGTAGCCTTGTCACCTGACCTGAATACAGCGCGCTGATTTGCTAAAATTGACTTATCGGCTTCGATTCAAAAGGGCGCTTGTCGGCTTCTGCAGTAAAACGTGAACTCGCGCAATGCCTTGAAAGTGGACAAAACCGGCTTTTTTGATAAAGCGTGTTTAGAGTTCAGATCGCGCTATATGTGGAGAATAATGCACGGCAATCAGCTAATTTTTTTTATCTCTTTGGGTGCATAAGGTGTTTCCTGCACTTCTACTCATTGACCAGAAGGGGACGTACAAGTATACATGTGAATGGAGATGGATGAATTATGAAATAGGCAATAATAACGAGCCCTTAAGGCAAAGAAATAGCAGTTCTTGGCACCCTAGACTCGTATTTCCAGCTTTGTTTATTACCGCTCAGATTAAATGACCTATGAGGTATGAATGTGGTGGACTGTGAAATGATGTGTTATAAAATAGTTCCGGTTTCTATTATTCAACATTTTTTGCAGTGCATAGTCACTGTTTTCCACTAATAATCCCAGTCCGTTGAGTGATTCCTTCTCTTCTTACCACTGTTTGAATGTTTTAAACGTTAAACAAGAGTTGTTCACTGTTTATAGACGTTCGTGCCAGAGGAGGTTGTGTCAGGGGGAAGTTATGCTGCAGTTATATTTGCATTGGCAGTGCATTTCAGTGTAACATGCCAAAATATAAGTTACTCAATACAAATTTCTCAAATAAAACAAACATCCTCTCTGGGACGTGGTCTTTTTTTTAAGATTAGGAATGATAGAAAAACCTATTATGGTGTAATTGTTTGTAATCATGATGCAATGTTTATTGTCATTTCATGTTTTTTAGTTGCAACAACATAGAGATGGGTGATACCACAAAAATCTTATTTCACGATATGAGTAATTTTATGTCATTGTTACAAATAAATATTTAATAAAAATATAATTGAAAAGGAAGTAAACTATTCTAAAGTATTTTGGGAAGTTTGTGTGCATTGGGAATTATATTTTTTCAAATAAAGCCAGGGTAAAAAGATTTGTTTAAATGATGTAAATGCATATTTGCTGAATGCTGCCGGCAAACGAGAAAGTATTATAATGTTTGCCTTTCCATTACTAATAATATAAAAGCAATCGTTATAATACTCCTTGTATACATATTAATTCCTTTGTTCTATCGGATTATTAGACCGACTTCTATCCGTATTAGACAGAACTGTTAACGACGACGGCGAACAAGAGGGAGTCCCGCCTAAGTCCCGCCCCGAACGCATCGGCCAAACAGAAAAACGTATCAGCCGATGCTTAAAAAAATGCCAAATATCGGCCTTGGCGATATATCGGTCGACCACTAAAAAAAGGTCTGTTAATAGATGCTTTATATCGTGGCCAGGATTTGCATCATCCTACCGTACAGCCCTACATCATAATAATGTTACCAAAACTAAAAATCATCAAGTTGTTTGGTTAACAAGCTCGCTTAGCAATAGCATAGAGCTAACTGGTTAAAAAAGTCATAATGTTTTTTTAGATTCTATATTCTATTTTTGGAGGTTAGCTTATGACGTTTTTTGCATCAAAAAGTTGACATTTATAAAAGTGATCATTTTCCATCCTTATTTTGACTCTGTCACAAATGCGTCATTTCAAGGGACATTACATCTTTTTCTCGACAGCATGCATGCGTTTTGATGCTCGAGATGGTAATAGAGTCGTAAATGAACTCTCTCAAGCGCTCACAGCTAGGCGTTTTCTGCAGAGTAACACAACCTTATTCTCATATTCTAGTAGTTGGAAGCATAGCTATCCAAGCCATAAGCTATTTATTTTTGTAAAACTAATGACAATAGGTTGAAAGCTGAATTTTTTAACTTTGAAGTGTTGCATTCAGTTTATTCCTTACGTTTTCTTTACTTGGTCTTAAAAATGTAAATCTGAAACCATGATGACTGGCTCTTAATGACCTGATTTGTACAGATGATAACTGATTTTAAGTGGACTGTCCCTTTTTTGAAGCTGAACATAGATCATCTGATGAGTTTTCAGTGATAAACGATGTTTAAATAAGTGGCATCCTGTATAGTCTTTCAAAGGAATAATGGTCCTCTGCTCGCTCTTGCAGGATTTTCGGAATGACTTTCTTCCTAGATAATGTCTGGGAATGTTTAACCCCGTAGTGTTTTTTTGTAGACCCTAAAATGTGGTCATGTATGGGTTTGCGTAGTGTCTATAGCTTATGTAAGCAAATCCCCCTGAGAGAAAGCGTTATCTAGCGAGCTGCCGGCTGTATACATAATCGAGCTCAGTGGAATGTTGTGAATGCTTTGGAACGGGAACGACCCTTCCTTTCCTCATCCCACTCCAGACTTTTCCGGATCCGGAGCTCGATTCCTTCGGGTGCGGTTCCTTTTTTTTTATTCCTCGATGGACGGAGAAACTTCATCAGCATTAGCTGTTGAGGAGATTGACAAGGATTTTTGGGAATTCGACATGCAGGATTTCACACCAGAAGCGGGACGGGCCCAAGAGTCGACGCCTGATGCCGATATGTCAGCTTCGCCAGAGAAGACGTCACCAGATTCAACCGATTTCGTACCTCTGTCAGCTTCGGTAGCAGGTGCTGGGGAAGATATGTTAGAAATGCAGGCGATTTCTGAATCCGTTTTAGTTTCGGCTTTAGAAATGGATTCAGTCGCTCCATCCGTACAAGTGTCCTCATTAACATCCGCTCCTGACCCACATCCAGCCCCAGATTCAGCTGTGTTTAAGGCGTCAGACACACACGCCGCTCTGGGAACTGAAAAATCATTGACCGGTCCTGTCGTTCAGTCGACCGGCACTACGGATTCAGACGGGACATACATGATCCCCGACCCGGAGTGGGTGATGGGGGGAGGTAGGATTGGCTCTTATTGTCTTGTCACTGAGTTAGGTTAATGCGTGTATTTTACTTCCCAGCATCTTTGTTAGCACACATGTTTGCAGATATGGGTGATTGGTCTGTGGGTTTTCATTTGGACACTCTTTTTTGAGGTTTTGTTCCTTTGTGATGAGGATCAGAATTAGCTTTATTCGTCAAGTGTGTGCAAACACACAAGGAATTTGTTGTGTTTTTTTAAGGAGCTCTGCATATATGCATACATACATATCTGCCATGAGAACATAAACATTTAAATAAGTAAGACTTGGCAATAAATAATAATGGATGGACATGAGTACCCGAGTACTCAGAAGTAACAGACAATTGACTTAAAAAAAAAACAAAAAAAACAATAATTGCACACCAAACAAAGTTCAGCGGTTTCAATTTTGGCTTAGTTTATTAGTGGCATGATCATATACAGTTGATAGAAAAAAAGGAAGAATATATGCAGTTATGCTTCCATTTTCTATTTATAGTTTTTGTTACTCATATACAACAGTAACTTGTGGCCTAATTTGGCAGCAGGCAAAGACAAAGGTGTTTTTGAGGCTTTTATTCTTTAGAATTGGCTTATATTAAGATGTTTATCAGAAAATAATACCAGAGTTCCCACGGTCATAAAAAAATTGGACAAATTAGGGCATTTAAGAATTTTGATTTCCAACCATTATGTTTCAGTGACTAGAAATTGTTGTTTTTAGTAGGGATGCACCGAAATAGCCGAAGCCGAACAAACTGAAACACTGGGCCGAAGGCCGAATACTGATCACGGGTTTTCCCCCATTTTGCCAATTTTTTTCACCATTGCATAAATAGCCTAAATGTGCTTTTTATTGTTTTGTCTTGCTTTTCAAAGAAAAAATCATTTAAAAATATTTACTTAACACTGAAATTTTTTTTAACATTCTAGCAGACATTATATCAATAAAACACAACTTAACTTAAAATTAAAAAGTTAGTAAAATAATATTTTTTTACCATTTTTTTATACCCCCTTCTTGAATCAGGCATGTATTTTTTTTTACCGTACAAATAAATGCAGCCTTGCTGAACAGAAGAGACTTCTTTTAAAACATTAGAAAATATTATAGATCCCAGTCTGAACACTGTGTAAATGTTACAATAAATGTATTAATAGAGCTGTTGTAATTATATATATTTTTTTATTTTATTTTACGGAGCAACAGTAAAATTACAATAATAACACTTATTAATGTTGATGGAGTTCTTGCGTTTTCTCAGCTTTTATTTAGTCAGAAACCCGCAGGAAGACCTCAGTGCTTCTTTTTGTTGACAAATGATTCTCATTACAAATTTGGGAAGACGTTTGTTGCACGTATCACATTGTCACATGCCTTGTAAAAATTCATAAAAATGTTACTGAGCAGCTGACGAGTAACACCGTTTCAGCGCAGATTTTCCTCGCGCTTTGGCCTTTGAACCCTGCAGCCGCGAGCTCGTGCAGCACTGTTTGAACACATGCAATTTGTGCGTGTATTAGAAAACATAACATTCTGCATTTTATTTAATTGTTTAAGGGCATTTCGCGATTTCAATCATCATACAGTAACCAGCAACAACCACCCTTCCTCTTCTCATCGAAGACGTGCAATGCAGTACTAAACAGACTCTCGCTGTCGGTGCGTGTCATGAATTTTGCGTCTTTCTCGGACAGCTTTAAATGTTTCCACACTGCCGTCATGTTTGCTGCATTAGCGCGCGCTTCTATTTGATCGCGTCACGTCATTGTTCGGTACAATTTATTCGTTCTTCTCGCTTATTCGCTTTCGGTTGCCGAACATTCGGTGCATCCCTAGTTTTTAGTGATCTCCTAATCCAGTTATCTTATTTTTTGCTTAAAGTGATACAGCCTTTTGTTGTCAAATGATTTGATGTCTAATGCTTAACAGAATAGTTCACCCAAAAATGAAAATTCCATCATACCAGCAACAACCACCCCTTCCTCTTCTCATCGAAGACGTGCAATGCAGTACTAAACAGACTCTCGCTGTCGGTGCGTGTCATGATTTTTGCGTCTTTCTCGGACAGCTTTAAATGTTTCCACACTGCCGTCATGTTTGCTGCATTAGCGCGCGCTTCTATTTGATCGCGTCACGTCATTGTTCGGTACAATTTATTCGTTCTTCTCGCTTATTCGCTTTCGGTTGCCGAACATTCGGTGCATCCCTAGTTTTTAGTGATCTCCTAATCCAGTTATCTTATTTTTTGCTTAAAGTGATACAGCCTTTTGTTGTCAAATGATTTGATGTCTAATGCTTAACAGAATAGTTCACCCAAAAATGAAAATTCCATCATAATTCATTCACCGTCAAGTTGTTCCAAACCTTACGAATTTCTTTCTTCTGCTGAACACAAAGGGGAAAAAGAAAGGGGAAGGAAAAACAAACACCGTACCAAAACACATCGTAATTATAACCTGGGACGTAACACACACACATATTTTGAAGAGTGTGTGTAACCAAACAGTTTTTGGTCCCCATTGACTTCCATAGCATTCAATGGAAGTCGATGGCTATCGTCAAGTCAACTGTTTGGTTACCCACAGTCTTCAAAATATCCTCTTTTATGTTTAACAGAAGAAAGAAGCCGGTTTAGAACAACTTGAGGGTATTTTCAATTTTGGGTGAACTATCCCTTTTTTTTCAGTGTGAGGGAGAGCGATTGCAAAAATCAGTGTAATGGGTTTTGATAGAGAAACGGCAGAGAGAGCGAGAGAGAAATATGGGTTAATGTTTCCTTTGCCACTCCCTCATCAGGCCGAGTGCCGAACAAACAGTCAAGATCTGATCAGATTCATGTCTCAAAGTCTTGCAGTCCTTGCTGTTGTAAATAATATTCACATTTATTTGGCAAACGACATAATCATGATCCTAAAGTGTTTCTGACTGAGTCATTTAGCAGGGTAATCTGTTCGTCTAATGGTAGCGGTGTCTTTCTCTGGCTTGACCAGATTAGTGACCTGTACACAGCTGCAGGCAGGTTATATACCGCAGCATTTTTAGTATCTGGTATGTGGAGGGGACGTTAAAGTTAGCACCTGTCGAAAAAACAAACGCCCGCCCTCCCCTCAGACGACTCCACAGTCACTGCTACTGAACGCAGAAGAGTTTACGATACTTGTCCTGTCTCGAAGTGCTCCGTTTTCCCTGTCCTCTCTCTTCTCCTCTTCTGTCTAGATCGCTCTATCTCTCTTTGATAATCCATCCTTATCCTATCTGTTTTTTCCACTCCTTGTCGTAGCTCCTCCTGTCTGAGATAAAGTGCGAAGGTAAAGACACAGAGCTCAGCAGGGCGTTTCTGTCTGTCCCGCTCACAGTGTAAGTAACCAGCTTCACTCCGTTCCTGTTATTTGCCTTTAACTGGTTGTTTCATGTGTTTGTGGCTGTAATGGTGATGTTGGGGATCTGCTGTTGTTGATATTGTGTGATTAACAATGTGGACTGACCAGAGTTTACCTGCTTACACAAGTTGCTTGTTGAGTTTGATGATTTTGTTGCACTCGTCTTGTGTGAGTTTGGATTGTATAACACGTGTGGTAGAAGATAAACCTAACGTCTAGATGATCATTATCTCTACACTGGACATGATTGGTGTGTCGAAAAGCATCAAAAATTACAATCAAATCCCAAACACTGACAACCGATGCTTCATTTGACAGACACCTAGTGTGCTGCATGGAAGCTCTACAGTATTTTTCACATTTGTCTGAAATATTTGTAATATAAGTTTAATTATATATGAATTAATTGCTCTTGTTTTGTGTTCTATATTTATAAACCAATTTGTTCTGAATTTTGTGATGTATTTCTGAATTAATATGTCCTGAATTTTGTATATTATGCACTTCCTCTGAATTTGATGAATTATTTGTTTATCAATAGATTTTTGTTTTGTTTATAAATTAATTTTCTCTGAATTTTGTGTTATGTATTTTCAAATAATATGCTCTGAATATCAGGCCTTATATATTTATGGATTGATTTACTCTGGATTTTATGAGCTAAATATTTATGAATTTATTTGCTCTGAATTTTGTGTGTTATACTGTATTAATGACGTTTATGCATTTTATATTTATAAATTCCTCTGAATTTTATTACCTATGATATAATATTCTGATTCTTTTTTTTATCCTCAGACCATGTTTCTTGCTCACTGATTTAAATATATATATATATATTTTTTTTTATAAACACATGCACACATTATATATACAATTATTTTGCTATTCTGCGATAACCCATACGTAGGCTAGTCCTTTTTTATATCGATCTGTTTTAGAATTTCATTAGTTTTATTATTTATCATATCATGGCTCACTGGTTCAGTTTGACAGATATATTAAGGTGACATGTCACTTCGCTTCTACTATCCAGAACCTCGAGCTGTCATGCTGCAATGTGACATCAATCACTTCCTGTGTAGACATGGCGTGACACGCTCGGTAGCAAAGATGTTGATGCAACCGAGATCTAAAGGTGCCTTATCGTAGAAGTAATTGCTAAATGAAGGACTTTTAAACCAGAGATGTGTTGACGGTCACTTAAGAGCATGTTTTACAAGCTTTCTTAGTTGTGTGCGGATTGTGTAAGTGCTTTCTGTTCTATTCCTGCACTTATGGCTTTTGAATATTGATTTTACGTGTGCATTAAGAAGTGTCTGTTTATGCACATGCATTTTGCACTTTACTTCCTGCTGAATCAATCCCTGTAGGCATGCTTTTTCAGAGCAGTCTTTACGTGTGAGATTGTCGCTCTCACCACACCCCATATGAGTGAAGCCTGCAGTGATTTCACCATCCTGATCATGTGATTCGTGGCGTTAAAAAACCAACCAACCCTGAGAATCAAACCAATATTTCAATTGTTCTGTTTTTTACAGATGCTCTTCTCGCGGATTTGGAGTCCACAACCTCCCACATTTCCAAACAAGCTGTTTTTCTGCCAGAAGAGACGCCATATTCCTACCCCTCAGGAAGTGACTCATATCAGGACGTAGCCTCTCCTCCTGCTCAAACACTGAATGGATCTTGGGTAGAAAAGCCAGAATCGAAGCACTCATCAACCCAGGTAAAAGGCACCATTACTTCCTGTAGGGTTTCTTTATTCCCCAGAGCTGTCTGCTGGTCTTTATATGAGTCCTGCTCGGTTATCCTTTAACCTTATGACAAATACCAGAAGCCGGCCTGTTCCACTTTCTGTTGTGCCCTCGAGCAAAGCACTTGTGCCATTAAGCAGGTTCAACATATTCAAGGTTTCTCGAATGCGGCCATATTATACATCTTTGTGGCATCTAAGTTCACTTACAGTGTTAGTCGAGCTTTCTTGGACTAAAAACAGTCATAATTTAGTTTTTCACAACCATTTTCCACTCTCAGTGATGGAGAGAATTTCGTCGAATTTTAAATAAAAATCCACGTTCGAATACAAAAACGTTGCATTCGAATTTTAGATGTGCGTTAAGGAGGCAGCCTTATCAGTGGCGCACGAGATGCGATGACGATGTAAGTGTCGTTGCATTATGTTTTTGTCAGCCTATCCAGTTGAAGCCACTAGATGCGGCGCTGCTGCATTGTTAATTACAAATGTTGCGGGAAAAGAGAACATCAATGCGGAGAAGATCTTGTTTACATCAAAACTGAAACCAAGCCGTTCACACAGAACACATATTTCGCGCATTTTCTAGAGGGACATCTATCACCATTGCACTCGCGTCTCGCACAAAAGAGCCGCATGTTTAGAAAGCCATGTAAAATTAATGCAAGTTCAACTTTGAAAAAAACATTTTTTCAACAAAATTCGAGGCTTTTGCTTTGAATAAATGTGCATTAGTAATATTTTGCTCGATGCGCCCTCTTGTGGCCTCAGGAGAGAAGCCAAAAGCTTTTCTTCACCGTAACTTGTTTTGAAATTATACATTTTAAATTCGAATATAATTCGAATTTTGATAATATTTAAGTACAAAATTCGAATTGAGTTTTTCAGCCATTTTGACAGCCCTAGAGAGAATTAATCTGACTGTTTTTGTGGCTGCACCTTTAAGATGCTTCGATTAGGTGCTCTGAGGAAGGCTGTTTGAAGCCGTAATGCACTGGCCAACAGTTTTATAATTAAATAGCCCAGTTTATTATATGCTTTTTTTCAACTTTTAGGTATGTGACTGCTTTGGAGTATTATATTGTTCAATTTGATTTGAATTATGTCTGTTATTATTAACACATCAGGGTGGGTTAAGTTGCTCAATATTGAAAATGCATTGATATGTGAATATAGGTGGTCATATTTTAATGTGTTTGTAGCTTAGTTTCTTTAAATATTCTGTGAAAGACATCAGGTGCTTTTGATAGCGGTCACACTGAATACATTTGGGTGTTTAAGTGTATGTTTTTGGCTCTATGGGATTACAGGAATTATTTAAAGGCATAGTTCACCCCAAAATAAATGTTCTGTCATTACATATCAGTCCCACCAAGATTTCGCTTTTGGTGACTTTTTGCAGTCAACATGACTGTTGATTTTGTGGTTGTAATTTCCAGAATTTTGTGGAAAATTTGCTGTTATTTCTATTATTCTGATACCACGTTTACCATATTACATGTGACTCTAGATAGTCACAATAGTCATGCATGAGAGGGAAAAAAATTTAGAAAGCTTTAGTTCTTTTTTTGTGGCTTATTGCATTTAACAAATCTTTATGAACATTAAAGCACTGCCCATGCTTTTTCTCATTCATGCATGTTTCTTTATCAGACTAACATGTAGAAGTAGTACTGTGCTTTTAGCAATTATTTTGTGGTTAAATGGCAAATTATGCAGTATCACAAAAAAATGCATTGTGTTCCATTTTCCAAAAAGTGGATGGACCGATATGTTGATCCTCATCCAAAAAAAAAAAAAAAAAAGTTTTCCCTCATGTAATTCCAAACTTTTATGCTGTTGTTTTTGTCATGGCACACAAAAGGTGAAATTTTCATCCAACCCTTGTTACACAAAGTTAAAAAAATGTATCCATTAATATTTTAGTCTACATAAAGCGGTGCTTTGAGACCCCAGATGTACAGTATCATAGCTTTTTTTTTTTTTTTTCATAATGTTTACCCATGTTGGCTATTTCTGCTCTTGTCAAAGTGCTTAGTAAAAGTAAAGCAACTTCATTTTTTTCTTTCCTCAAGTCTTTCAGCTCAGCTCCGAAAAGCACCAGTCCTCGTGTGTCACAGTCTGAAGAAGAGCACGTCTATAGTTTCCCTAACAAGCAGAAGACTACTGACTCCCCCGCCGCCGTCATGAGCTCATTACTGGGCAGTAACCTGTCAGAGCTGGACCGTCTGCTGCTGGAGCTCAACGCTGTACAGCACAGCACACCCGCCTTCCCTACTGAAGGTGAGCGCTTCAAACCTCACAGTTAATGGGTTGTTAAAGCTCTACAAACATCATGTGCGCATTATTGACAGTATATCAAATCCAATAGATGTTTTTCCTTTTGGTGTTTCATAGAGACCTACCCACCCAAACCAGCCAGCAATGCCCAGCGCTATGTCCCAGAAAACGGCGTCTCATCAGTAGTGAAAGCACCTCCTCCTAAGATAGAGAAACCCAAACGCAGTGCACCCGGACGGGGGATAGAAGATGGCAGACCCAGTGTGGGGAACCTGCTTAATGAGTTGGAGAGCTCCGTGCCGGCCCCTGCGTAAGCTTGCACACTACTGAAAATATTTATTTTTTTATAGTTAAGATTTTTTTTTCATGTTTGTAAAAAGAAGTCTATTTTGCTCACCAAGGCTGCATTTATATAAATGCACTTAACTTAAATATAGTTTATTTCTGTGATGCAAAGCTATATTTTCAGCATCATTACTCCAGTCTTCAGTGTCACATGATCTTCAGAAATCAGTATAATATGCTGATTTGCTGCTCAGTTATTATTGGTGCTCAATTATTAATAATGATTCTTAATATTATCAGTTACTAACAATTATTAACAAAAAATGTTTTCAACACTGACAATAATAAATGTTTCTTATTATCAATAATCAGCATATTAGAATGATTTCTGAAGAATCATATGACACTGAAGAGTGGAGTAATGATGCAGAAAATTCAGCTGGGCATCACAGGAATAAATTACATTTTAAAATCTATTCAACTAGAAAAATTAAATTAATATTTAATAATTAAAAATAATATTTCACAATGTTACTGTTTTTATTGTATTTTTGATCAAATAAATGCACCTTTGATGAGCATAAGAGACCTTTAAAAAAAAAAAAAGAGTATATTTTATTAATATTTAATATTTTTATTTTGTAATTGTAATATTTTATATTTGTTTTACCACTTTTAATGAGTAGAACTATTCTTTAAAATATTATTTTAATATTTCTGTCATAACTTCAGAAAATTGAATGATGTTTAAATAAAAAAAATGTTTGTTTATTTTTTTGTTTGTTTAAAGTAGACTTTGAAACCCAGATTTTCATTGTGGTATTTTGGACTTCACTCTAGTAAACACTGATATTTAAATGAGCTAAAAAGTTGTGAACAAGTGAAAACTTTACTAGGTTCCCTATCTGTGATCTAGACCTTTTCTTATATCTCATTTTTTATTTTGTGACATTAATAGACCCGCCCCTGCAGTGCCAGTGGTTCAGGAGGAGACCCCCTGCCAGCAGCAGGCCAGAATCTCCGCCTCCTCAGCGACACGAGAACTCGACGAACTCATGGCCTCACTGTCTGACTTTAAAGTTCAGAGCAATGTAAGTCTTGGAGACAGAGAGAAAAATTACATTTACATTTAGTCATTTAGCAGACGCTTTTATCCAAAGCGACTTACAAATGAGGACAACAAAAGCAGTCAAAACTAACAAAAGAGCAAAAAAAAAAGATAAATATAGATAAAGTAGAATTAAAATAGAATAGAAAGTGTTAGAGTTAGAGGGTCAAATAAAGGTTATTTAAAAGTAAAATTACATTGTTATTTTTCTTGTTTTCTCCCTAAATCTCCCTAAACAGTAATCCATTGCATTGCCACACAATAGAAAATTTGCCTAAAAAAAAAAGATATGTATATATTTTTTAAAAGCCACTCTGATGGAATCTTTTAAAGCAATAAGCCCCGTGAAGCCATGGTTTACAGTGAATTTATAACAGCTAAAGGGGGTTCTAAGGGGTAACAATGCCCCTTAGCTGTTATAAATTCACTGTAAACCACGGCTTCACAGGGCTTATTGCTTTTATAAAACGGTTATTCCATATACGTAGTAAGGTTTCACAGACTAAAACAGCAAATAAAGTGTAGTGATATAAATAAAAACAGTATTCTTCCACCAAACAATGTAGTTCCTCAGAAACCGTTGTGGTTCCAACAATTGGTAGCTGAGCAACACACAGAAGTAAACAAAGGTGTGTGTTTGTAGTGTAATTTACAACAGCTTCGAACGCGGCTCAGCCAATCAGAATCAAGGACGGGACTATCCGTTTTATAATGTGTGTTTGAAATAGACAATAAGCGTTTAATTAGCAAAATTATTTAGTAGTGCTTATGTAATTCTTATTGGCAAATAATCTGCCTTAAAGCTTTACAAGGGCAGTTTTAATGAGTTGTCATTGGGTTTTGCATTTGTAGGGGGTATCAGCTGTTGTGATTTATCATGCATGTCTGTGAGTGCTGATAATGATAATCAGATAGTAAACAGTAGATTATTATCATTCAAGGCCTTTAAAATGAATAAGGGGTGTATATATGCCTGTATGAAGGGCATGCTCTCATGGGTCCATTAGGAAGGTCTTGTTAGCATTTCTATCTTGGATGTGAGCCACACTGCGGTCGAAAAGAGAGAATCTGGAATGCTGGGGTTGTGGTGTCATGTTATACAGTGGGGAAAAAAAGTATTTAGTCAGCCACCAATTGTGCAAGTTCTCCCACTAATTCTGGTGATTTATATTTGCCTTCATGTTGGTAAACCAACTTATATTTTGTTACATTGACTAAATAAGCCAAACATGTTGAGATATAATGCATTACATTAGGCCACTGGTTTTTATGTATAGTTTTCGTATTTTAGAGTAAGATAATGAATCAGACTGAATGTTGTCACATTGCCGCCTCATTTTGCATGCCATTCCTTCATGTTTCTACTCAAATGCGTTCCTCCCTTTCTTTTTGTTGTTGTTGTCTTGCTGTTGGTTGTCTAGTCTGGCTCTCTGTCAGTTAAGGAGGACTCATTATCCACTAAAGGGTCTGAACTTCCCAATCTTGGGGTGACAGAGAACCTCACAGTCCCTTCAATCCCAGAAGCAGAGGTATCTGACCGCAGCGTTCCTCCCCAGCCTTCCCCAAATTGCGCACCACTTTTACAGGAACTCCACATTGTTGAGGAATCGACAACTGTTGCTCCAGTGTCCAAATCCATGGTGCTTTGCACTTCCTCCAAGACCCATTCAGAGAAACTCCTGGTAGTTTCTAGCACAAAGAGCCCAGCCCCTGAGTCTCATTTATCACCTGAACCATCTGCAAAAACCTCAAGCCCTCCGGCATTAAGTTTACACAAATGTGAAGTCAGTTCGCCAAAGACCGATGATCCAAAAATCTCGAATCCTGTTTCGGTCACCAAAAATAGTCCACCTGTGGTACCAAAGGCCTCCTCACCAGTTATAACTCCAAGGATATCTAAAAGCCCCAATCCTCCACAGGTTATCAAGAGCTCAAATCGAATTGTCGATGTGAAAAGTCCTAGTCCTGTAACAACTGCTAAAACCTCTAGTCCAGTTGTGGTAAGAAAGAGCCCAAGCCCTGTTACAGCTGTTAGAGCAACCAAAAGTCCAATCCCTGGAGTCCTTGCCAAGCGCCCAAGTCCCGAGCCAGGGATTACTAGCAAGAGTCCGCTGCCAACTACCATTACACTGCCCGCTCCTCCAGTTTCAACCCTAACATTAACTCCGAAGCCTTCCAAAGAGAAACCTGAGAGCTTTGAACCGGGCATATTGGGATTAAGTCTTCCTTGCCCCAAGCCTCTTCTTGAGGAAGCTCTGGAGAAGCTGTTGACGTCCAGTCTTTCTCAACCAGAGCTGGTGAAACTGGGTGAAGGAGCTCCTGCCTCATTAGAGGTGAATGATGATGTTCTGGCACGTCTTCATCAATCGACACCACCAGGTGGCTTTAAAGATGTCACTTGGATGGACCCCACATCATTCCCTGGGGCGTCAGATGTTTCGCTGGACCTTCCCCTTCTCCAGCCATCAGCGGTTGAAAGGCTCTTCACTTCTGGACAAGTATGAGGCGCACCGACTCTGTCAGACTGTCTCCAATTTGCAACCCTAAATTTAGCGAGCATGGGCGAGAAGCATGCTGAACCACGTACGGCTGTTTATGCTTTCTCAAATAAATGGGCCTGATCCTTGGGCCAAGGGGCCTGCTGATACCCAATCTGAACCTTTCCATCCTGCTCGGATAGAAGCACCCACCATTAGCAAGTTAAATATGCCTCTCAAAAACCTGATACGCATGTGCAGACGTCACTTAGTGCTCCTAAAATTGGAAGGATTGCCATTTAATTAGGTTTCTGTTGCATTGCTTTGCATCACGTGTTTTTGGAAAGGTGGAGAATTGAGAAATCCAAAGTATGTCTGGTGCATGAAATGAATAAGATTCTGTGGAAGGAGTCTTTGCGATGTTCAAATGCATGCCCTGACGCGCTTCCTCAATGAGGTGTATGGCGCTAAATGGACAACAAGGCTAGGCTTGCTTGTTTCTTTGCCGTTCTGTAGTGGAGTTTCATTGTGCAATTGCATTCCATCTTCACTTCTTTGCCATTTCTTCAGGGCACTTGATGCAGGAGATGATCTTCAAAGTGGTCATTTACTGATTCCATAGTCTGATGGTTTTGCATGATGCAAAAAAATTGTTTGCAGTTGCTAAAGGTGATGTGTGAAGTCTAAGGATATGACAGTTACTTCATATTCTCGATGCATTAAAATCATGTAGATTCATGTGCATTGATCTTGAAATCTAACCTTTAAATCATATATTGCTTGTTTGCTAGTTACAAAAAACATTTATTGCAATTAGTTTAAATGTACAATATCTGGGCAAAATCTGTTGCATCTGAACTTATCTAAACGTTTTCTGAACTGCTTTGAGTTTTCCAAGTAACTGATACGATTATAATCTAAAGTAGCGATACATCTGCGATTATGAACGCGATATTGCATAGCTTGTCCGTGATCTACGGCTCTGTGTATTAAATGCTGCTCCATCTGAAAGCACGTGCTGGAGATTTACTACTAATCACAGAACCTGCTTTACTGACGAGATGCGCATGACATTCGCATGCAATTTATCGTGCAGCCCTAGTTTTGAATCAAATTTTAAATATAAATGCATTGAATTAAATGATTTTAGTTGCAATGTCAACTGAACTAAGAGGTTAAAATTGACAGTTTGCTTTGTCACTTTTGCTATGCATTGTTTTTGGCACGTTGTGTTTGTTTCACGGTCATTATACATGTTCTTGCATTATTTCAGATTGTTTGTAGAAGGTTAGAGATGTTTCTGCTGTGTCATGAAGAGGATGTTTGAAGCTATGCAATGCATTGTCCCAAACCAGATCAGTGTGAGGTTGCTTTCCAGAGCCGTTTGAAAGCATTGCATGTTCTAAATTTTAAAGTGGTCAGGTCACTTCATTAATGCTGCCTCTCCGCAGCTTAAATCGGTCATCAGACGCACAAAGGAAACGTCCAACGTCCACCCGATGTTTCGTGATGGCCACATGCGCAAAAAATTGGGCCCGCTAATTCTCAACAAGAGCAACTCGCAGGATCTACTCATTATAGAGCTGCAAGGGAAACTGGGAATCGGTCGCGCTGAGCGGCCACGAAAACAGCCAGATGATTGGCTTACGGAAGGGGTCATTGTCTGTTCCAACCCACAGCGCTTAAGAGAGGAAGGTGTCGCATCACCAACGGTTGATAAGGTAGTGCAAGTCACAAGATTAATGGTGGAACTCACAAAAAGCTAGCAAAACAACATTTCTTATATTGGTTTTTATAAACATTTTCAAATAGAGAGCAACAACGCCTACCAGAGGTTCCTGGTGGGTATTTTTCCATTCATTTTTTCCATTTTTAAAAAGTCTTTTTTAAGCACAAACCAAACCATCCAGCAAAGAGGAAAATCACAATGTTACTAACTTTTGAAGCAAAAAGTATTTGAAAAAAAGGCAAAGGTACAAGACTGTGTACTTAACGGATTTATTGATGGAAAGTAATGTATGATTTATATTTTAAGTTTATAGCAGAATATGCATATATACACAGATATTTAAGTATTTTGAGAGCTTATCAAGTCAGGCAGTGCTTAATTAATTCTGCTGTTTAACACAATTGTTTAAAATAAGTCGAAATAATGCCGACTGATGGCTTCAGCTTCGATTTTACAACCTTAGAGCTCACAAGAGATCTGTCTTTAAAAGTTACGATAATAAAGTTATCTTTAAAAACAAATTCCCTATGTAGAAAATGAATGGGATTTTTACTTCCAGAACTAATTTTTGCCCTTTATTCTGCATTTTGTGCTCCTTTCACTTCCTGCTACGTGTTTCATGTTTCTTTGTCCATCAGATCATCATTCCTCCAGGCTTGCCCAGTCCTCCGAAAAAAGTCCTAACCCATCCTGTCCCAAAAAAGCCAGACCCTGTGATACTGATGCCCGCTCCTCTCCCCCCACCACCTCCACTCCCTAGGGAGCTCCCTCCTCCTCCTCCTCCTCCTCCCGCTCCTCCAGTTCCAACTCCCCCAACTCCACCTCCACCTAAAGACCCCACCCCTCCACCATCCCCTCCTCCCAAACCTGTGACCCCACCCCCTCCACCAAAGGTTTTAGCGTCTGTTGGCTGCCAAACGGAATATGAACCTGTTTTTCCACCGGTACAGGCACGAACTTGCTCTCTGTGTTTATCTGCATCTGATCAGAGCTTGCCTCTATGTCTTCAGGGTTCCCACAGTCATTGAAAATGGGGAAATATAAGGGAATTTGTAAGGCCTGGAAAAGTCTAAATGGAAATGAATAAAAAGTCATAGGAAACTGGTTGTATATTGGGTTTGTGTAGAGGAAAGGTTACTCACAAGCCATAGTGAATCATTCTGAGAGTGGATTCTTTTCTATGAATCTCTTGGACTGGTTCACAATTCAGTTTCTTTAATGAATCATTCGAAATTTATAGTAAATGTAGATATAGTGAATGTGGATAATAAAATGACTGGAATGGTGATTTTGAAAATACATTGGTCAGATAGTGTGGGAACCCTCAGCCTTGTTTCTAGCCATTCTTTCATGGTTTCTAGCATGTTGCATACAAAGCGCATGCTGTTGTGTGTTTGACCTCCAAACAGCGTTTGCACTAGGAGTGTCTCAGCATTTATTAAATAGTTTGCTGGTGCCAACATGTCCCATGAAGACAGTCTGTCCTTGTGTTTTCCCCTTGTAGATTCCTGGTACATGAACAAATTATGTTGCAAATGAAGTGCTAGTGACCACAGAAAAGGCTGTTGATCTGTACAGGTGTCATTTAAAACTAAGTTTGTAACCATCTATGCTTCTATGTTCTTCTTGTTTTGGCAGGTTTTTGGCTCTAAAGCAAAGCAAAGTTTTTAAGTCTGCCGGAATTGTGTAAATGTAAGAATATGCTGCAGAATGACCTGCAAGTCAGAAGTCAGGCTGTGTGGAAGTGCTTCAAGAGTAGCTTGTTTAAGTGCGAGTTCATATGCAGAAATAACAGAGGATGTGTGGGTTGCTATTTTTGCTTTCTAAAGAATGCTTCTGTGTCACGGTTACTTGAATTGGGAGAACAGAGATGGGGTTACCAGGCCTTTTTGACCCATATCCTCACTCAGTTTGTCATCTGATTATGTCTTTAACACCTTCTCGATCCTGATGTATTTAGGGATGGTTATGCAGAGAGTGTGAGACTGGTTTCCTTAGATTAATATTAATAAAAAAAGACCTTATTCAAAAGCCTTACTATTTATGTGAAATGAACTGACATTTAACATTGCAAATGTGGCATAAAATCTAACCAGACTGGCTGTTGATTGCTGTTTGCACTAAAGGCTGTGAAATAATAAGACAAATGCTGCAGTAAACATTTCCATTACATGCATTGCTATGGCTAATTACAATTGATTCCACATAAGTGATTCGGTGTTTCAGCGAAGTTGAGAACTACTTGTGCTTCTTTAAGTGCATGCGGTGGTTGTTTAATAACCACTAACATCCTGCAATGTATTGACTAATACATTGTGCAATTAAATGTGTGCAGTTCAGTAGATCTTGATGTACATGCTGAATCTTTATTGGAAGTTGGAAAAGACCTTTTCACATGTTGATGGTCATTTTTGATTTCCCGGTATAATGGTGCAAAGTTGATCATCAGTTTTGGGGCATGAATAAATCTCTGAACCACTACACCGTTCATTGGGGGACATTTAACACATTGGGGGTGTTCTCTGTTGAATGTATAATTTTAAACCCTGCAAATGTTTAGGCCTGAATTATCAGCATTGTGGCATTGATCAAGATTGACCTGGTAAAAAGTCTACCAAAAGATGCTTTGGGAAGAATGCATGTGCTGAGCGACTAATTGGTATTCATTAGTAATGTGTACCAAGGAGAAAGCAAAACTGCTTATTTTGTGTTGGGATCTGCGTCCACATTTTCTTTGCTTAATGAAGCAGTCTTTAAAATGTGAAAATTCTTTCCTTTTTCCTGTAGATTATGGCTCAGGGCAAGAGTTCCCCCACCAGCGTTCCAAAGCAGGGGAATAAACTGGATAACATGTTGGGCAGCCTGCAGTCAGACCTCAACCGGCTGGGTGTCCAGACTGTCGCCAAAGGCGTTTGTGGAGCCTGCAAGAAACCCATCGCTGGCCAGGTAAGAAATCCCTTGAAGAACTCATTTACTGCCCAAATCGTTATCCAAGCCTATATTGCTTTTGGATTTTTAGGATATTGTGCCCTAGAGTGGATGCTCTGTTCCAAAACAAACCAAAAAGGCCACAAAAGTGTCTGTTTTACATGTCAGTGTAGACAATTTTTATTTTTTTTAATTAAGAAGTAAATTTATTTTATTGTCATAAATCTGAAAAAAATACTATTAATAATATTTTATTTATAATATGTATTTGAAAGTCTCCTATGCTCACCAAGGCTGCAATTATTTATTATACAAAGTGTCTGTTTTACATGTCAGTGTAGACCATTTTTATTTTTTTTAATTAAGAAGTAAATTTATTTTATTGTCATAAATCTGAAAAAACTACTATTAATAATATTTTATTTATAATATGTATTTGAAAGTCTCCTATGCTCACCAAGGCTGCAATTATTTATTATAAAATTGTGAAATATTATTGCAATTTGAAATCACGGTTTTCTATTTAAGTGTTTTAAAATGTAATTTTATTCTTGTGATCAAAGCTGAATTTTCAGCATCATTACTCCAGTCTGTAGTGTCACATGATCCTTCAGAAATCATTCTAATATGCTGATTTGCTGCTCAAGAAACATTTATAATTATTATCAATGTTGAAAACACTTGTGCTGGTTCATATCTGTTTTTGTAAGGACAATTAAAACAAAAAAATAGATAGATATTGTATTAAGCAAGGATGCATTAATTGATCAAAAGTGATATTTATAATGTTACAAAAGATTTCTATTTCAAATAAATGCTGTGATTTTGAACTTTGTACTAGTCAAAGAATGCTAAATAAATAAATATATCACAGTTTCCACACAGGAGAAATTACATTTTAACATATGTTAAAATAGAAAACGGTTATTTTAAGTTTTAGTAATATTTCACAATATTACTGTTTGTACTGTATTTTGATCAAATAAATGCAACCTTAGTGAGCTTAAGAGGCTTCTTTCAAAAACATTACAAAATCTTAATTTCATACGGTAGTATGAATATGCATTTACGGATGTTGTAATCTTAAAGTTTTAGCTTGTAGGCTTAAACAAAATTTCTGAGCCACTGATATTCAGTTATGTCTTTTGTTGTTTACTTCTTAAAGTGAAATCATAGACTTCCGTCCTCATTTTCTTTGATTCATTCAGGTGGTGACAGCAATGGGGCGAACGTGGCATCCGGAACATTTCGTGTGTACTCACTGTCAGGAGGAAATTGGTTCCAAAAACTTCTTTGAGCGAGACGGCCAGCCGTACTGTGAAAAGGACTACCACAGCCTCTTCTCTCCACGCTGTTACTACTGCAACGGACCCATTCTGGACGTAAGGATTTTGCTTCCTATCAGCACCTTAAGCGGTCACAGACGGGGCATTCACGGACATGTGTGTTAGCGTCTCATGTGTCACCACCAAGTCAAGATAGTGCTTACTATAGCCGGCCACACTTTACCTCTGGCTTCAGATTTCCTGTAAACATAAACAGTCACTTAAAGACACTCTAAATAGGTTCTTTGCAGTAGAACTCAACACAGAGAGAGTCTGCTGAGAATGTAAATGCATAAAAAAATAAGCTTAAATCTCTTTTAAAGGGGTCATATGATGCTGCTAAAAAGAACATTATTTGGTGTAATGAAATGTGTTTATGCGGTTTAAGGTTAAAAAAACACATAATTTTCCACATACTGTACATTATTGTTTCTCCTCTATGCCCCGCCTTTCTGAAACGCGTCGATTTTTACAAAGCTCATCGTTCTGAAAAAGCTAGGTGTGCTCTGATTGGCCAGCTATCCAGTGCGTTGTGATTGGCCGAATACCACAAGTGTGTGACGGAAATGTTACGTCCCTTACCATACTGTGATGCCTGCGGCAACCACATGTGACGACCCCGGGCTGGACTCCGCTTCGTCCACGGTGAAAGCCGATCCGGCGATCCACAGCGCGAAGTTGAAGTATTTCCTCAGCGACCAGCACGGATCAGCTCCAGGCATGACGAAGCGGATATCGTCCTCTTTTGGAAGACCAAACAAAGTAGTTTCGCTTTCACAACGAAACACACGGTGCCTTCACGACATGGCGGCGGTGGCAACAATACTACAGCGAGAATAAAAGTGACGCCTTCTTTCTTTGCGTGAACATTTGGGTGGCGTTATCCAAATCTTCCCACATCGTGACATAGACATGTGGGGGCGTGTTAGAACGAGCCGTTTTAGGTAGGCGTGGCTGACTCTTAACTTTTATAAAGAATATCTCTTTGGATTTGAGACTTTAGTCTTTGCAACTTGACAGATCTTCTTTATACACCAAGAGCTTGTAACACTCCAAAGAGAAAGGAAAAATTGAAATCGCGTCATATGACCCCTTTAAGGCTCTAAAGTCATTTTAAAGCAATACATCTTTAGTAAAAATGACTAAACATCCTTAAAATAAGATACATTTACAAAAGTGTCTACCACAGCATAATACAAAAGCAGCATAGTATGTTGTATTTGTTGGCTGCATGCAAAAACATACAGAGCAACCAGTGTAGTCTGATTCTCTAATGAGATTCATGAACACGAGTTACGAGTTAACATCTGAATCGCTCACTGACTGGAGACAAATGCACATTAACACAATATTTACATATAGTACGCAAACAAAAAAAAAATGAAAAAGGCAATAAACAACAAGTCATGATGTTTTGTATTTGCCGGCTGCATGCAAAAACATATAGTGCAACCAGTGTAGTCTGTTCCGTAACAAATGATTCTTATGAGAAGATTCTTTAAATGAGTCAGTTCTAAAGATTCATAATCACAGAACTTATTGTAGTCATTATAGTCTTATTCTTTGTTTTTCTTGCATTCTTTTGTGCTTTCTGTTCTTTCACCATCATTTCATTGTAACAAATCGCTTTTACTTCCTCCTGCAGAGAGTGGTGACCGCATTAGACAGGACTTGGCATCCGGAGCATTTCTTTTGTGCCCAGTGCGGGTCATTCTTTGGGCCTGAGGGTAAGCAGCTTCCACTCCTCTCAACCTCTTTTCTTCTCTTTAGCTGATGTTTCCTTTTTTTACCAGCTTATTTTCTTTAATATGGTTTTAAGCCTTTGGCAACCTTTTTTGCCCCCTTTCTGTCATTGTTCTGCAGGCTTCCATGAGAAGGAGGGAAAGGCGTACTGTAGGAAGGACTACTTCGACATGTTTGCCCCCAAATGTGGCGGCTGTGCTCGTGCCATCCTGGAGAACTATATTTCGGCCCTTAATGCTCTTTGGCACCCTGAGTGTTTTGTCTGCAGGGTCAGTATATGCGTGTGTCTGTACTGATATATCAGCCAATTAATAGGCCAATATTTAGCTTGGACCTGTTTTTATTTTATTTTTTAATGTTATTTTTATGCATTCCATTTTTTTAAATGTGTTTTTAAAATGTATTGAGCACGCTGCATTTTATTATATTCATTATATTTCATGACATTTTATTGCATATATTACAATTATTACATGTTATTAAATTTAGCAGTGTTTCTGAAACAAAATATTGGCTTATTAATATATTATACTAAATAATTTTATATAATAAATATCAGAGTATATATACAGTACAGTCAGGGTGTATATATTTATCAATCTGAAGACTGTAATATTCCATGTATTTTTATAAACCACATTTAAATATTCTGTATTTTTTGTATTTTATAATTATTTACTTATACAATTGTATATTTAGGATTTATACATTTAATGAGATTGTTATATTATTGTCAGGATTTACATTTCATTAAATGTATTACATTTTATTCAGTTTATTTAATTCAGCAAGGTTGCTGACATCATATATTGGCCTATTAATATATTATTCTAATTCATATTTATATATTTAGGATTTATACTTGTATTGAAATTGTTATATTGTTGTCAAGATTATATTTTAGATTATTTAACTTATTTATTTAATTCAGCAGGGTTGCTGGCAATAAATATTTTTCTATTAATGTAGTATACTAAATAATTCATAAAATCTGCAATATCATAGTGTATATAGTTGTAAATCGGATGATTATAATAATGAATGGTGTATATTACAAATTTTAATTTGATACACTCTGAAATTACATTTTTAGATATGTAAATATTCTGATTTTATAATGAATCATTTTGGGGGGTTTTCCCCAAGATTTTTAACAAAATATTTCCGATATGAATTCATATGGACATGTTTTCAATCATCAGAAAATTTGTGGTGTTTATGTTGCTATCTTGGTGTTTCGGATGCATGCACGTTTCAATATCAGATGTTTCTGAATCTTTTTATTGTAGCATTATTTGAATCATTCATGCATAACTGACTGATTCCTGCATTTTCTCTCTGTCCTCCACAGGAGTGTTTCACTCCGTTTGTGAACGGCAGTTTCTTCGAGCATGAAGGGCAGCCGTACTGTGAGGCTCATTACCACGAGCACCGCGGCTCCCTCTGCTCCGGCTGTCAGAAACCCATTACCGGCCGCTGCATCACCGCCATGGGCAAGAAGTTTCACCCCGAGCATTTCGTCTGCGCCTTCTGCCTTAAACAGCTGAACAAGGGCACATTCAAAGAGCAGAACGACAAACCCTACTGCCAAAGCTGCTTTGTCAAGCTCTTCAGCTAGAGTCTGATAGTGTTGAGGGGTGTGTGTTTGAACAGGCAGTCCCAAGTGTGGAGTTTTACAGTTCGTCACAGTGTCATCTTGTGGCGATAGTGAGCATTACACCAGCTTGTTCCTGTGCCAAAGCACTTTTAGATAAGTGTAGATCTTCAGGGAAGCTATTACGATTTTTAACAGCCTTTTTAAAACGCTTCCCCTGGATCTAGAGACTAAATTTTGGTCCTTGAGCTATTTTAGATATTATCGACTGCATCGGACAAATCAAGATCTATTTTTGTACTTGTTACATACACACACACACACACACACACACACTGAGCTTAACTTGAACATACGTATGCACACTTCTGTTTGCACATTTCAGGCATCTCTTTGCTGCTTTCTGGTATAACAACACTCTGTTATTTTATATCGCTTCTTTTCTCCATCGGCCACATCAGGTTTTTCTTAAAGGTGCAATAACAGCTTGGCATCATCAAAATCTCAATGCCATATTCTGTATATTTTTCTAATTTTTGGTACTCTGAGAGTTTGCTCAGTGCTGATTTTATTGTGCATGTATTTCTCTGTCTGATCACTTTATAAAGTGTGCTTTTTTGCTTTGTTTTGTTGACGATTGTTTGTATTTTTATATGCATTGGTGGTTTCTGTTTTTCTGGATGGCTGGAGTGGTTTGAGCTTCCATTCTTATGCCTTTATGAGTTTAACTGTAGAAACAACTCACTTCTGCTGTTATAATACATATTTTTTTCTTATAAAACGCCTTCTTAAAGATAACAGTTCGGGCCCAGATGCCCGTTTTGTTGAGTATGTGGCGTTCCGCAATGTGCCTATTGCCACCGGGCATGTTTTGCGATTTACTTACAATGATTTTTGTCTTAATTTCTTCTATGCAATGAGTTTGTGATGCACATTTCCCCCCTATTTCAATTAATCCGATTTCCTACTGTATGCAAGTAAATATATTAAAGTCTTACGGATTATCAGTGATTGCAACAACTTTACTCAACTTTAGTTTTTTTCATAATTTAAAGATTTTCTTTCAAGGTGATGTCATATTTTATTCTACATTGACTGATGACATGCACATTGTATTTAAAACTTGGGGTCTAAATGGACTGTACAAGACATTGAATAAATACCAGGATCTGAATGACTGATTTATGCGTCGTTGATTTATTTGCATTGAAATCTCATTAACAGCTGACAAAATGTTATATTTTCTGTCCGTTTTATGTTCATTTTGTATAAATTACATTCCCAGGAAATACATGGACTGATGAAGCGTATACCTTGAATACAATCTTAAGTCACCCTGGATAAAAGCATCTGCTGAATGCATTTATGTAAATGTTTATATTATCCACAGTCCACTAAAATAATCAGAATGACATTTTATAGTATGATAAAAAGCATTCATTCATGAATAAATTTTAAACTTGAAGAGCATCTGGCTGTTACACTAATCTGTCTCTTTAGCGCCACCATATGATTTAATTTAAAGCCCTATGCTAATATATGCATTCAATATGTCTGAGCTCAGGCCTGTGGTCATAAGAATTAATAAAAAATCACTTAAATATATCGCACAATAAAACTACAGATTTTTACCATTTCTATGCTGGTTTATGCTGGTCCTTTTGCTGGTTTAAGCTGGTCCTTTGCTGGTTTAAACTGGTCCTTTGCTGGTTTATGCTGGTCCTTTTGCTGGTTTAAGCTGGTCCTTTGCTGGTTTAAGCTGGTCCTTTGCTGGTTTATGCTGGTCCTTTGCCAGCATATGACCAGCATAAACCAGCAAAGGACCAGCTTACACCAGCATCCCAGCGTCAAAACATACCTAACCAGCATATGCTGGTTTTTTCAACAGGGTATAGTTCACCCAAAAATTTAAATCCCCATTCTTTATTTACCCTCAAGTAGTTCCAAACTTGTATGAATTTCTCTCTTCTGCTGAACACAAAAGAAGATATTTTGAAGAATGTAGGTAACCAAACAGTTTCTTGTTATCATTGACTCTTTATAGTATTTTTAATGAAAAGTCAATCTATATGGAAGTCAAGCAATTGTTTGCTTACCCACATTCTTCAAAATATCTTTTTATATTCAGCAGCAGAAGGAAACTCCAACAGGTTTGGTGAGTAAATGACTGAACGTTCATTTTTGGGTGAACTATCATTTTAAAACATGTTAAAAATAAAAGAATATCTCGGATTTAATTATGAATATTATGTATTTTTTATCAACTTACTCAGTTTCCTCATGCAATTTGGAGAGCAAAGGTTCAAATATAGTTTTCCCTAGCATGTTCCTGAATAGCTCATAATCGGATTTAAAATTATGTAAACTGGTAAAACACAAAAAATACAGACTAATACAAAATATATAAATCGTAATCTAAAATCTTAGAAAAATGTTCATGTCCTTAAGTCAATTACCCTTTTTACCTTAAAAATATGGCTAAATTAGTGCGCACAATGAATAAAGGGCACTTACAAATACAATTATATTCAAGCTTCCATCTTGAGTCTTGCATATCAAGCAAAGGCCACTGATTTATTTGCATAGTCATAACATTCAGATTTACATGCATCTCAGAAGCTATCATCAAGCACATCTCGCACACACACAAACACAATCAAACGGTTAAAATGCTCAGACCCACACTTACATTCACGCGCATAAAACTTTTGGAATAAAAAGACCCAGTGCTGAGGCATTCTGGGTGATCTCCCTATTAAAAAGGCACTTTAAAATCAACGAGAGTTCTATGCAATAAATACAGTTAAAAGAGGAGCAGCGAATAGAAGAACGAATGTTCACTGTGTCCATCCTAAACATGTACAGAACAGACAAGTACTGCAATACTTTTACAATGAACTGGAATGAAGAAGAAAGTTGAGACAATCAGACAACGACAACCAGCTTTCATATCCTCCCCACCCTTGTAAATAATGTTTCTCCCACATATATCTGATCTATATACATGTTGTGATGGTTTTGTGTTGGAATGAATGTAGGAATGAATGGACTTCATTAGTGCTGCTCTTCTCTCAGTCGGAGTCTTCATCATCGAGATACTCCTCGGCGTTACTGTGGGTGCGCAGAATCACTGCAAATTCAACAGAGAGAGACAGTTAAGTGTGAATCTCTCTCACAGGAAGTGACATCTGAAGGAGGTAACGCCTTGTGACTCACCTCCTCCCAGTTTCCTCTTCAGCAGAGAGGCACATTGTGCATTGGTGGCCATATCCAGAGCGGTCTTCTTCTCATTGTTGACCACATCTGTCCTGGCATCTATAGCAACACATATTGCAATATAAACAAACATATCAAACATGCAGATACAGATACAAAAAAGGACATGCGTGTTTGTACTAGGAATTTCCTACATTTCAATTACAAATTGATTTAGACTTTTTATGACCTTAAATTTCAGAAAACTGGGGGCTTTTTTAATTTTCACACATGCTCCTGAATGCACTTTACAAGTTTGCACACATCTATTTTTAGTTGCAAATGCAAGTGAAGTGCTTGCACTGTCGACCTCTGCCCCACCCTAGTGTCACATACATACAAGTGGGGGGGGGCGGGTTGGGGGGAGAAATTCACTTACTTTTATTGAGCAGCATCTCAGCTATATCTGAATAACCCTTCCAGGCAGCTGCATGTAGAGCCGTGTCTCCCAGTTTATTCTGTTCAAAAAATTAACACACCATTTATTACATTGAGTAAAATATAAAGAACATGAGCATTGCTTCCGTTTCTAGAAACACTCTGCTATCGCTGTCACTTTTTCATACAGACATTTGTAAGCTGATCTCACTGCATTTTAACCAATTCAAATGAAATGCATTTGATCTCAAGAAAAGTGACTCGCCAAAAACATTTTACCTGCTGATTGAGCTCACAGTTTGGCTGACTCAGCAAAATCTCCACCACATCTAAGAAAACACAAAGTAGGATAAACGTTTCGTCTTGCCATTATTTTTTGTACTTTTTTTGACTTGATGTGCCAAAACAGGCTTAAACCAGCTTAAAGAGTTTGTGCACAACTGCTGCAGCTCGAAAATGACATTTTAAAATGTGAAAACAATCAAAGCGTGTGTGCATCTTTTACCTTTATGTCCTCCGTGACAGGCCCAGTAGAGAGCGGTGTTCCCTGCTTTGTCCAGTCCGTTTATGCCAACCTTGTTATCCAAACACTCTCTGAGCCAGCTCAGATTACCTGCATTCACACACAAAACATTTCATTGTTTCACCACGCTATCAAACAAACAAAATGCCAGATAGGTGTATATTTGGGTACCTCGCTTGGCTGCTTCATGCATGGGGTTGTCTATGGACTCTGCTTGCTCAGCCACTGGAAAAAGGCAAATCACATCACAAATTTAAGTATAGCTTAGAAAAGTAATAGCGTATTATGCATAAAATGATATGCAGAGAAGTTTGACACTTAAGGGGTTAGTTCACCCAAAAATGAAAATTGTCATTAATTACTCACCCTCACATCGTTCCAAACCCGTAAGGCCTTGGTTCATCTTCGGAACACGAATTAAGATATTTTTGATGAAATCTGAGAGCTCTCTGACCATCCATAGACTGCAAGGATCCTAACACGATCAAGGCACAGAAACGTAGCGAGGATAGAAGTGCCTTGATCGTGGTAGTGTCCTTGCTGTCTACGGAGGGTCAGAGAGCTCTCAGATTTCATCAAAAACATCTTAATTTGTGTTCCGAAGATGAACCAAGGTCTTAAACCCAAGTATACGTGCAATAGTAATAGCTAGGATTTCTTTAGGAAACAGCACTGATTGTCTCTAAAAATAAAAAAATAAAACTTTCCCGACATCATCGTCTTTTCAAATCACTGAAGGTGTTCTAGTAAAGGACTGATGGTTTGCAGGCTCTAGTTTGCCACTTGCTTTCTTTACCATAATTGCTGGGAATAAGTCCAGTCCTTCCCCTGCATGTTCCCTTCCACCAGTTACTGTCACTCTAAAAACATAAACCCAGCAATCAGTTCAAAATCACGAACACTGCCATGAATATAATGCTCTTTATGGAGCAGGAGGAACTAACATAAACTTACTGTATCTGAGATGTACAAGATATCTCCTTCCTCAAAGTACAGTTCATCTGGCTGAAAACGAGGAAAATATACATGATTAGCTCAATTCAGGCAAGCTAAAACAAACAAAACAACCGAAGAGAAGAATGAAACTCACCGTCCTTGGGTCAAAGGTGAATAAAGCCCTGTACACCTTGACCTGGCCTGTTTAAAACATAAATAAGAATGTTAAACTTATATTTTCAAATAGCTAATGATTGCACACTGAAGCAGTTTTATACACATTTTAGGTCCACAGTTGTCCGTGTTCTGCTCACTATTTATAGGCAAAACAGAGCTGGAAAAATTCCACCTGTACAACCTTATCTTCACCTATCAGCCCAACCAAATGCAAAACACCATCACATCTACAACCAGGTAGTATCACAGAACTAAACGCAGCTCAAATGCAGGGCAAACCACAGGACACAGAATTAAGAGGAACCCAAGCCCTGAGGCCTAAATATATAAATAAACCATTATAAGCACAACAAAGGGCATTTCCTGCCTCCAAAGGTATTTCAATTTGGCCTATTGCAAACAAGTGAGAAGCCCTGCTGAGCGGGATCCAACCGCCCCCTCCTGAACTTCCAGATCAGCCTCGGAAATAGAAACACTGGCCTCCACCGGATATGATTATTGTGTTTGCCACCAATTACAACTACGATCAATCGTTCAGAAGTGTAGAAATCATTTCAACCAACAGGAAATCTGTTCTGCAATACTAACAATGTTTCCCAAAGTTGGAGGTTCCAAGATTCATCCAAGAATCTACACTCTAAAAAATGCTGGGTTAAATACAACCCAGTGCTGGGTAAAATAGGGGCAAACCCAGCAATTGGGTTGTTTTGAACCAGCATTTTTTTAGAGTGTAGATTCTTGGATGAATCTTGGAACCTCCAACTTTGGGAAACATTGTTAGTATTGCAGAACAGATTTCCTGTTGGTTGAAATGATTTCTACACTTCTGAACGATTGATCGGATTGGTTGGGTTACTACCCAGAAGGTTGTGTTAAACATTTAACCCAACCGCTGGGTCAAAACAACCCAATTGCTGGGTTTGTCCCTATTTTACCCAGCACTGGGTTGTATTTAACCCAGCATTTTTTAGAGTGTACACCACATTATAATATGTTACTATTAGTGTAAAAGTTAATGTAACCTGGTTTTGGCCACTACTAAACAAAACAGTGTTAAATATTCCAAACATCCCATCGTACACAACTGGTAAAATCAAATTTGCATGCTGGATGCCACATCCTGAGAAATCTGTACTAAGAGGACATTCTACAACTTGAGACAGGACCAATAAAGAGTTCAGAATTCACAGTTTTTTCTACTTAATAGATTCTTTAGTATCAAAAATTAATTTCAAACCAATCACGTGATTAAGCATTTTGAGTGGCATTATTAATAAAACAAATCATATAGTCGCAAATGCACATTATTTGTAGTTCTGTTCACTAGAAATACAACCCAGGCGCTGGGTAAAATATGGATAAACACAGCGATTGGGTTGTTTTGACCCAGTGGTTTGGTTACTGCCCAGAAGGCTGGGTTAAACATTTAACCCAACTGTTGGTTGAAAAGTCTAAAGTGAAGTGACATGACATGTGGCCAAGTATGGTGACCCATACTCGGAATTAGTGCTCAGCATTTATCCCATCCTGAACACACACACCGTGAACACACACCCGGAGCAGTGGGCAGCCATTTATGCTGTGGCACCCGGGGAGCAGTTGGGGGTTCGGTGCCTTGCTCAAGGGCACCTCAGTCGTGGTATTGAAGGTGGAAGCGAGCGCTGTACATTCACTCCCCCCACCTACAATCCCTGCCGGTACGAGACTCGAACCCACAACTTTTGGGTTATGAGTCCGAATCTCTAACCATTAGGCCACAACTTCCCCTTTCTTTTCTTTCTTTCTTTCTTTTTAAGAATTAGGTATTATTGTGTCCGAAAGCAGAAATTAAACAGTTATTATGCATATCAGTTATGCAATGTTTAAATATTAAAATAACAAGCATCGTATCAGTTGTGAAAAGATAATATTGGTCTATCTCTAACCACAACACATATCTTTGACCGTGCACAGCATCATCATAAATCACCAGTCCAAATGGCATGCGTTATTTTGCACACTAAGCTAAATGAAGCTGCTCTTTCATATGGGGAAGTAACTAGCTTCTATGAGACCATGGCTGGGACTCAAAACCATTGATCTAGACAACATTTCTGGGCATCATATAAACATTTTGTTTGGCTCGCCAGATAATGCACCGATTATAGAAAAAATGCGTACTACGTTGACTAAACGCGCTGTCGAGGTAGATTGCTCACTAGGTTCTGAACCTTCTTGATCTTTGAACTTTTATGCTAAATTGTGGTGGTTTCGCGCATGTTGGTGACAAGCGTTTAAAACGCGTAAAAGCGCAAAGAAAGTTGCGTTGCGCTGCGCTGGAGAAACGCCAACCTCCACCCGCAGGAGAAAGTTCAACGTAACCAGAAATCGCATGCTCTTATATACATTTCATTGTATGGCATCGGAAACGAGCGTGTTTGTAAGGCTATCAGACAAAGAAACAACGCAAAAACGAGTGAATAAATAATGAAACTTTTGTAGGCTTGCGAGGTAGGCTTTTCCTCCACGCGCACCTCTTACCTGGTTTAGCTGGTTTGGGGGGAGGCTTTGACATTTCTGAACTCTCCAAGACTTTTAAAGAAGACTTCCGAGTTGTTTAAGACGTCAATAATAGGTAGAAACGGTATAAAAACTGTTACGAGTGTAAATGAAACAGTGTATCGCTGCTTTCTTCCTTTAGGCGCTGTCAATGAGGAAGCGTGAAGGAGCCCAATGCGGAAAAGTTGCACTGCGCATGCGCAGCTCTCTGACATTCCGTACTGCCCTTACGAAAATTTGACTTAAAGGGGTCATATGATGCTTTTTTAAAGATCTTTTTTGTGTGTATTTGGTGTAACAGAATATGTTGACATGCTTTAATGTTCAAAAAACACATTATTTTTCAAATACTGTACATTATTGTAGGTCCTCTATGCACCGCCTCTCTCAAACGCTTAGTTTGCTACAAAGTCCCTCCTTCCGACAAGCGCAGTCTGCTCTGATTGGCCAGCTGACCCAGTGCATTGTGATTGGCCGAACACCGCAAGCACTCGTCGGAAATGTAACGCCCCTTACCATAATCGCGAGCTTCATCTTTCAAAATAAATGTAAAGAAAGTAAATAATGTCATTTGTTTTACCATCAGTTCAAGCCCGAAAGGGGAACAGAGTGCGTGACAGACACAGTGATGAAGCTGGTATGTGTTTGCAGTACACAAGCCGCGGTTAAGACAGCTGACTCCACTGTGATGTGACCCTGTCTCTCTCTCTCTCTCTCTCTCTCCTGCGGTTACTGAAACCACGCCTTCTTTCTTTGCGTGCATATTTGGGCTCATTATGCAAATATTTCCACATAGTGATGTAGATATGTGGGGGCGTGTTAGAACGAGACGTTTTAGGGGGGTGTGGCAGAGTCTTAACTTTGATAAAGAATATCTCTTTGGTTTTGAGACTTTAGTCTTTGCAACTTCAGGGATCTTATCTATGCACAATCAGCTTGTAACACTCCAAAGAGAAAGAAAAACTTGAAATGGCATCATATGACCCCTTTAACAATAGTTGCTACGTAAATGCCATGTTTTTACAATTTAACTTTAGTAGTATTAACAAAACAGAATAGAAGCAGATTCAGGGAAAAATGCATGTAAATCTATTTGTTTCAAACTTAGATATAAATGTAATAAATTTGCTACAAATTAAATACAATTTATGGGGAGTGATAAATATTCCAATGGCTTATTAGACCCTGTTATAATATTTAATAATGATGTATCAGGTCTGATAGGTCTGAATTTTAGTCTAAATGTGTAATCAATGACAAAACTGCAAATGACTAATTTTCTGTTTCTGTTGCAATATGGAAAGTTTCGGTGCCACTATCAATAACATGTCTATTTTGGGGGCTTTAGTTGTGTAAAGATTCCTATAGAAATGATTGTTGAAATGATCGAATGAGGTTTGATGTAAGTCTTAAATTTAGGGAATGTACTAAACACTTTATAAACCTCCATTAATAACATTAACCAACATGAATCAATTACACAATACTTAACAGTAGTATAGACAATAAAATAAAATAAAATAAAAACATTACTGGCAAATAAAAAGATAAACGCCTTTTTAAACCGCATGGCCAAACAGTGGTAGGTTAATCTAACAAAATATTAAACAAATAAAACTGCAGGGAATTTTTCTGCACTTTTTTCTGTTTTTTTTAAAACCCTTTTAGCTCACAAATGAAACCATGAGTATGTATGTATGTTACTTTTTTCAGTACTTTCACACCAGTGAAACGCCTCTACGCTCTAATCCTCTAGATTTGTGTGTCATATTAGAGGACACCCGTAGCATTGGGCTGCACCAACAAGTTGGTTTACATTGCAGGCAAGTTTTAAGGAGCTGCCTCGGAATAGCTCTGCTTTTAGTCATTTCTGTTTTAAAAACCGTAGCACTACATTCATATAGACCTGTATATTATGTAAGTTTTGAGCTAAAAAAGGATGTTTGATGTTATCACTCACTGAGTACCTATATAATCAGATACGACTACGTGGAATTTGAAGTTATCTTCCATATGATCAGAATGCAAACTCACTCTTATATTTTTGTGTAATTTAACTCTTTGTGCATTTAATGAACACATCAGGTGTTCACTGTATTTTCAAAATGACGATGTAAAATGCAATTGTAAATGCATTGCTTTTAGTTAAAAGTTAATCCAAATTTATGAATCCAATGGTGGCCTTATATAAATTCTGGATAGCGTCTAATGGGGTGTTTAGCTTGTTCTGTGTTAACGGTTCAGGGTGATTAGCTGTGCTTCTCTTCCTTTTGGGCTCTTCAGAAACTCATTACCATGCAGATGTGAGGGACATGTTGCACGGCAGGCGACTCAAACAGAATTTAAATTGCACGAGCACGTTCATTCATGGCTTAATCTAAGAAAACCGGTCGTTCTTCCAGCTACCTCTCTTCCGTCCCGTACCATAGTTTTTTGGCCTCAAATTACAGGGACAGTAATATACTTAATGACCCATGAGGCTGTGTTCACACCGAACAAGTGTGTGTGTGTGCTGGGGGTGTTTTGGCTCCTCTCTTTATCTATTGCATTTTCCCCCAAGAATCCCATTCTTTGCATTCTTTTTATTCCAGACGTGATGCATCTCATATTCCATTTCAAATATTCCAAAGACTTAAGGTCAAATTCGATTCCAGTGACTCTGTGTCCCTAAATCTGAAACATCTACATCAGTGCATGTGAAGTCATCATAATTGACTATTAAAGTACAAATAAACATGAACAATATTCCTGTTTATTTAGAAGTATTCTCATATCCCATTCAGGAACACTTGACAAAACAGTCAAGCTATTCAGCTTCACAGTCCAGTGACGTGAAATGGAAAATTAATCTCACATAATGACTCGTGTATGAATGACCTGTGGATGAATTCTACAGGTGGACTCTCGTCAAACATTTACCTTACAAAAGATGCCTACAAACACACATATTATCTCTGTGTATGTGTGTGTGTGTGTGTGTGTGTGTGAAGGGAAACCTCCCTATAAAAGCTCCTCCTGGACGATAAGTTCATGACAAACAGAAACTCAACACAGAACTCAGCTGTCAGCTGCCATGAACCTACAGCGCCTCTCCTCTCTGCTGCTCTGTGTCGGTGAGTTTGGTTTTCTCCATCCTGTCTTACTTTATTTTTGACCTGTCTGCTGCAGGTGCGCCACGGTAGTGGAAAACCTGGAAATCTTAGTGGATTTTAAAATCGTGATTTAAAATCCTGAAGAAATCATGGAAATGAATACAATCTTAAAATATTATTGGATTTTTATGTGTGTGAATATATGCTTTTCTAGTTATGCTTTGCTCTAAAATATTGGTATTTATTTTTTCAAATTCTGAAAAATTATAAACTAAAAAAAAAAACATAAAAACTTGTCCAGTGATAAAGTATCAAAATAAAAAATTATGAAAAGTCAAAAAGTGAGCGAAACTTGCAACATATTTTCTTTCATGCCGAGTGTCAGTTTTGTGCATTTGCTTATTATTGTTTATTGTATTTTAATTTCACTTTGACAAAAGACAACTGACTGATGAATATGAAAGACTCCAAGATATAGTAAACCTCTTTCAAAACCAGCTTGAACTCTCTCGCTGGGTGAAGTGTGCGTGGTATTGTGTTTGTGTCTCCAGACAGGCAGGGCTTTGGGAAATCGACTCGACCTGTAGTAACATGCCTCTGAATAGCTGTGAGCTCTGGCTTTTCCTATATAGGTGTATGCCAGAACGCCACACAGTTTAAATCTGGGCTGTCTGTTGTCATGTTCGACGTCACAAAGCGCTTATTGTTCATGGCAAAGGACGGAGGATTAGGGCGTCACACCGCCGTGTTAAATATATATTTAGCTGTACGAACTAACGTTAGAAAGGTCATCCCCGCACACAATAATAGGTGTGTGTGTGTGAATTTCTTTGACAATTAAATGCAGGATTCCAGTCGGTAGGAGTGTTCAGATCAAATGCATTTACTCAAACATTTTCCTTGCAGACTAGTTTGACTGCAGACGTCGCCAGTTTATACCTGTGATAGAAAGGCACATACACTACTTTAAAATATCTGAATTGCCACATATCTATTAGAAAGAAAAATAGCACATGCACGGTTTTCAAGCTAAATATTTGACACGAAAGATTGTTGTTTAATCTAGTGATGTTCTAAATTGAAGTATTCTGAGACTCTTCATTTGTAAGACATTAAAGGAACATGTTAATGGTTAATGTGATAAGGAATAGAATGTGTGCAGAATAAAATGGCATGCAAAATTACAATTAGTGTTTAATAGACTGGATCGATTTGCCACACACCCAGGGCTGGTGGAATTTGTTCCTGCAATTTTCAGATAATGGCACCTTCGATTACTAGCCAAAAGGAAATCAAACGGATGTTTTTTCCTGGTCTTTTTGTGTGTATTATTCCAAATACAAACGTGTTTGACTTTGTAATGTTTCATCAAAATGCGATGATCAAAACTTACTCCACCTATGCAACAACGTTACCCTGGTTACTTAAGTTTCAACCAAGGTATGCTGGCTGTGTTTCAGGATGGGAGTAGTCCTTCACATTCACATTCAGGTCTGGCTCCATTCTGTGATATAATGCCCACTTCTTTTTTTTTTGATCCCAATCAATTCCTGATGGATAAAATCAAGTCCCGGCCTACATATTTTCTCGTTGAATAGCATGTTTCACTGTGGAAATTAATCACGTGGGTTGTGAACATTGAGACCTCCTTAGATGCAAACATTATTTTATGTTGTTTTAACCCTGTAAAGCCTGACATATGAAATGATAGTTTTGAAAAAAAAAAATTTTTTTTTTTGACACTTTAGACAAAACAAATCAAAAATCAGAAAGTGTGCATATGTGTTTTTTGTTGTTGTTGTATTTGTTTTTTTGAGGGGGGTGAGTATCATATTTAATATATCAGGCTTTTATGGCATGATGTAGTGAAAACATGTAGGGAAAAAACCCTCAGATTTATTCAGAGGCCCAAACGAAGCAAAAATATGCAATTTGGCAGTTGCTGGTATTTATGTGGCAAAAAGTAAGATACAGCTCTGATAGCTTTAAATTTAAATCTTTATAACAGTACACTGTAAAAAAAAATCTTTATTAAAAAAATTTAGTAAAAAAATTTACGGAAAAAAAAACGGCAGCTGTGGTTGCCGGAATTTTACTGTAAAAAGTACAGTAGCAACGTTTT